TCCCTGAGCAGACGTTCCTCCTGGCTCCGGCCCTGGGCTCCTGCGACAGACAGCGGTGAGCCTGGGTACAGGGGCTTTGGGGCAGAGTGAGGGGGAGGCCATGGGAGGGTGTGACATGGGGAAGTGGGGAACCGGGTGTGGCAGACAGGCTCCAGTAGCCCCCCAGACCCTCCATCCCCTGAGGCCTTAGACCCCTGCTCCTGGCCTCTCCAGGCCCCAGACCCCCTGTGTCCACACCCAGGTAGACAGCCAACAGTGACAGAAGGAGCAGCGGCCTCTGGCCCCCGTGCATGGTGCCACAGCTCTCTGCAGTGACAGGGGTGGGACTGCAGCTCCTCAGGACTGGGATAGAGGGATGCAGCCTCTGGGTCTCATGTAACAGCCCACACTCCCTCCCCAGCCAGGCCAGCCAGGCCAGCCCCACCAGCTGTCTGACCCCAGCGCTGTCAGCTGTTCCAGGATGGACACAATGCCGGGCTCAGGTTACCCGGGCTGGGGAGGACAGAGGGGCCCTGTCTGTCCCAACAGAGACGGTCCAGCCTCCGTCCCCACTCTCAGGCTCAGCCGACCCAGTCCTCCGTCCGTGTTCCAGCCAGGGGCGCTGAGGACGCAGCCGGGGACAGATGGGTGTGGGAGAGAAAGGCAGAGCGCTGAGGAAGGGCCCCAACCGAGGACACTTCCTCCTGCCCCCTCCAGCGGGTCAGGATCTGCGGAGGCTTGAAGGCCGTTGGGGAAGCGTGTTTTGTTCCTGAGTTTCTCTATGACATGGTCCCTGACATCTTCATGGGTCACTCCACTAGACCGAGACACTGGAGGGTCAAGTGCCTATGGGAGAGATGCACTAGGGCCCCCAGGCAATGACACCTTAATGCAAATGAGGGGGTCAGGTCAGGGTTCTCTGGTCTCTGAGGCATGGAACTCGGGTCTGGTAAGCTTTAGAGGAAGGAGAGCCGAGGAAGATTTGGAACGCAGGCTCCAGGGAATAGGACAGCCGCTGAATAGGGGCTCCTCAGGGGGCCCTCAGTATTTATTAAACCATCCACAGATTTACGGAGTCCCCAGTGTGTGGCAGGACAGCTCTAGGCCAGGGGGACCCAGGGATAAGCCCGAGCCGCTCACAGGAACTCACAGTCCGAGGGGGGCAGGCAGGCAAGATCAAGGCACTGGCCCCTGTAGAGTCAGATGAGGGGACCTAGAGGGGCCAGAAAACCAGCTCCATCCACGCTGTGGTTTGTGGTCAGGGGAAGAGTGGGGCTGAGGCTGATCTAGGAGCCGAGGGCCCTGCTGTCAGCTGGCCACCTGTCTTCCGACCAGCTATTCGAAGCACACAGGTCAACATGACCCACTACGTGGGCAAGACGGAAAACACAGGTTCCCATATGTGCCGCCCACCCTTCAGCATCCTGTGGGACAGGGTGGTGGAGGCCTCTGAGGGCTGGAGGGAAAGCACCATTTGAGGACGTGTCCCCCTCCCCTCAAGCAAATGGTGTCTGTGGCATTTTAACATGTCAGTAAACTAGAAGTCAGCCCACATGCCCTGTTCTTGGAGATCCAAATGAGGCTGGCTCAGACCCCAGCCTCTGCAGCGGGCCCACAAGTCTCTGTTGTCTTCCCCAGGACTTTGGGGTGCGCAGGGGGATGACAGTGGTGGCCCCTGTCTTCCCTGATCTACTTCGGTCCTCGCGTTCGGTCCTGCTCTGGGCTCCACACTCAGTTTCCCTGGACAGCCCGCCCCCAGCAACCCCCCCCAAACTTTGCTCTCGCCACGCATCTAACTGTGTAGCCCACTCTCCCTGGAGTTTACGAAGCCGATGCCTCCTTCCCCCCGCTTTGCCCTCTGGTGCCCCCTGGACTCAGTTCCCTCACGCGTTTCGTGCAGTATCTCTCCTCTCTGCTGTCCTCCAAGACGGCTCTTTGCCCAAGAGAGTTAATGGCTTCTGCTAAATCCTGGACCACTATCACCCTCCCCCGCCACCACTCCAGGCATAGGTAGTCAGCTGACGCCGGACGTTTCTTACTTTCTCTTTCCTCTTCCCCACGAGTGTCTGGGAGGGAAAAGGAAGACTCTGGAGATTGAATTCCCTCTGGTGGGAACTGTGCCACCTCCCGCTGGATGCAGATTTTATTTATTTTTAAGTTTTTTTGGATGCAGAATTTAACCCTTGTTTTCTCCCCTTCTCTCTGCTTTGAGAGGTCCCTTTGGTGTTCTCAGGGGGGTGGGGCATCTCTGAGCGGCAGTTTCAGCCCTGGAAGGGTTAAGGGGGGAAGTATGGGACCCATTAAGAGAGGGGCCCCCAACCCTCAGGCCTTGGACCAGTAGCTGTCCGCGCGCGCTGTTAGGAACCAAGGCCGCACAGCAGGAGGTGAGCAGCAAGCGAGCGAAGCGTCATCTGCCGCTCCCCATCGCCCCCCATCGCCCCCCATCGCTCCCCATGGCCCCCTATGGCTCCCCATGGCCCCCCATCGCTCCCCATGGCCCCCACCACTCCCCATCGCCCCCCATG